ATATATATATATATATATATATAATTTATATTCTTAATTGTTAAAAATGCTTGGTTATTGTACGAGAACACAACCTGTTATGTAGAATTTTGCTGACACTTCCCAAATCTACATGTTGTCACAGTCTTGAGTCAGAGCACTGACAGGGATAGCCTAGTGTTTCTGCACCGCTCACACATTATCTGCTATTAATCAGAGCATTTGTGTGCATGTGACATTCCAGCAGGGGAAACCTGAGAATGTGCGACTAACGAGACACTGGATTCTGATCTTTCTGCAGACGGGAGGGTGCTGAAGTGTCAGAATTTCAATTTTCTCCAAATGGTCACTCCCAGTCACACGCTCTGACCCTCAGCACCTCCTTCACACTGCAAACACACTTTGCTGCTTTCGTTCTGGTCCTGTGGAGCTTTGGTTTTATTGGTGTTCAGCTGTAAAATTTCATATGAATCAGTGTTGTGTGAAAGCAAAATAATGTCACAGCCACTTCTTTTTTTTTTTTACCCTTGCACAGTCTCAAACTAATTACTCAACCCTCTCTGCTCAGATTGAGCTTCTAGGCAAAGCAAGGGTGGGGTGGGGGGGATTGCGTGACCCTCCCACTTTCCGGAGATGCTCCAGCCCATCCCTAAATTGTTGGCCAATGAGGGTGGCTCATTCACAACTCATGCAGTCCTTCTACAATAGGTAAGGAGAGAGAGACGCACAGAGCAGGAGATATATATCAAAGACAGAAAGACAGAGAGCAGCTAGAAACAGTGAATGTGTCTGGGGTGGACAGTAAAGACCAGAGTGGGAGAAAAGGAAAGACGTCCCAACAAAAGTGGAACCCCCTGAGAATGAAGTAGAGGCTGAGAGACAGGCAGATGAAGAGAAATGAAGAGCTTCTGACAGGACAGATTTACAGTGTGGACATCCTAAGAGGCAGGGAAGACAGTAAAAGAAAACAGCAGCATTCAGCAAAGAGGAAGCTGTTCATCACAGCTGTCTTGTAAGACATCACAGAGGACAAAGAGGAAGTCCCACAGGTGTAGACGCAGGCAGGTGGACAGTCAGACATGCTGCTTGTGATTGCGCTTTTCTCCATCGCGGGAGGACATTGGGGGCTCAACCCTGGAGCGTGGGGGTACGAACAAATCCAGGACAGACAGGGGCCAGCAGCATCGTCATGCCCGTCTCCCTGCCAGTGTGAAGAAGATGGCATCTTCATCATGGTGGACTGCTCAGAGATGGCACTATCATCTGTGCCATCCAACCTCAGCTCTCTCACCACATACCTGTAGGTAACCTGTTACTGTCTTATACCTCTTTCTGTTGTTCATGTCTCACTTTATTAACACTTCTAATTAATAATTTGCTTGTATTCCCATCCTTTTCCCATTTACCCTTAATTCTCTTTTCTTTTGTCCCATTTTGTCAGAGGTGCATGTATGATTCAAATTTATAGAAAACATTTATTAACCCATGCTTTGTTTTAGTTGATATTTAATCTTGTTTAAAAAAAGAAGAAAAAACGCAATATAGGCAACAGTTGGTGTGACCAACAATCACTGGAATAATCCAAATTTAGACAAAAATGTAAAAACGTGACGAGCAACAGGACCATGTGTGTACAAGAGGGACTGTGTGCATGTGTTTCATGCTGGCCACTACAGCTAAACTGGACCACTTTCAATGCAAGATTTCCCAGCACCAACTGGACAGTGAGAGCATGTGTGTGCGTGCGCACTTGTGCAGGGTACGGCCATATGTGTGTGTGCAAGTGTGTATGAATGTTTGTGCAACTTTGTGCAAGCATAGTTAAAGAATTGGATGTGTAAATGAGGTTTTCTAAATCTAAAAGTTTTCCATTTCACAACAATCTGTGATGCTCAAATATTGCTGGCCTATAATCCACTTTTTCATAACATTTTCACAAAGACTGAAAAAAGCTGAAGGAACTTAATACAATTTATGTGTTTGAAAGTCTTGGCACTGTAAATACATATACTAACTTTCAGCCTCCTTAGAGGTAAAAAGAGACACTTGAGGAAAATATTCTATAAAGGTCCTGAGTGTTTCTTACGCGACTTTGCTGTGACTTAAAGGCAAATCTGTCAAATTGTTTCAATGCTCAAGGACAGACTGCACATGTGCTACCTGATACTAAAGTGACGGAAGTCAAATTCAGAAAACAGACCGTAAAGGAATGGTTCTTTTGGGGGCTCTGCTAATACATCAAAAGCAGGGGGTCCAAATTAGGAAAGAACAACAGCTTATATAACAAATGACTTTATAAGTGACACAAAAAAGAATTCAACTTGAACTACGCCTGGCTCTTCGGTCATCTTGGAAGTCTGTGACAGCCAGATTTCATTGTGTTCATTTGAAAGTAAAAACACATGTACAGTTTATGGGGGTGAAATATGGTCTAAAACTTTATCCAGGAATCCCTCTGCATATGCGAGAATCGGACTTTTAGCACAAGCAGGAAGGACACGTCTAAATCGGCACACACTTAGAGAGGGATGACCTATAGGTAGCCTCTCAGTCCACCTCTGAATTACAAATATTGGTGACCCGAGGCTCTTTCAGCAGGAAACCACGTTGCTCCTAAGTCCTCTACAGCCACACACAAACACTCATCCTTCCCTGCAAACACAAGCTTAATTGTTCATTTCCCCTCGTTACCTAACGCTGGAACTGACCAATTAGTGAGTTTGAGGGTTGATTTAGAATAAGATAAATAAACTCAGCGACCAACCGCACACGCCTACACACACACACACACACACATTGCTTAAGGAGGAGACATGAAAGGAATGCAGAAAAGATGCAGCAAATAAAGACACAAAAATCACAGATTTTTCTTTCAACTTGTTGATAAAAACGATCAAAGACAAACAAAACATCTCCTTCCTGACTCTTCCCACATGCATACACACACGCGCACACGTGCACACACACACACACACACACACACCAGCAGGCTACAGTTTCTTGTTTCGTCCCGGAGTATAAAAGGTTACGACAGCAGAGAGCTGCTCCAATCCCCACTAGGATCTGTGGAAGTGTCCAACATCCCACTGGGCTGTTTTAGGCAGGATTAGCCTCCAAGCACATAGTCCAAGAGTGCCGAGGTCACAGGGATTTTCTTGGGAACAGTCTACTTTACAAACTTCATCGCCACAAATCTGCGTAAAGTGTATGACATCATTCACCCATGTCACAAGAGAGGCCTTCAAAGTGAGCCGAAAGGCTCCAACCACAAAAACTATGAGGGGCAGTCCGGGCAAGTCATGATCCACTGCATCTCAAAGTTTTCACACTTGGAAAATCTCACTGAAAACTGGTATGCAACTAATAAAATCTGATTTAGCAACAAAAACGTCATCATAAAACTAATGTGAAAACACTTGGACTCGATAAAGGAATTCGATCGATGGGAAGCAAAGGTGCTCCAAGCAAACCAGAGAGGAGTGCTTAAAGATTTATGGCAATAATAGTTTCCGTGGGCAACACATGAAATGAGCTGTCATATGAGACGCTTTGAAAGACCTTCTCTTTGATATCAGATTAGGAAGGAAAGACAGCGCCCAGGGGTGCATGATAAGTGTGGATGGATGTGTGATGAGTTTGAGAACACCGAGTACAGTGGAGTGGTTTGGGGGTCTGTGTTGTTTTGTGTTCAGCTGACGGCAAGGCAACTTGTCATAAGAGAAAGGTTCTCAATGACTCAGTAAGTAGATTGTATGTGAAAAAGTTTATGAGACCAAATTAGTCAGCTATCCTTATGTTAGACTTGTACTTACGTACAGGAGTGTGAGAAAAATTTAAACAAACAATATTTTTGGATTAAATGGCTTCCAACAAGGCAGGTTCTTGAAATCTTTTAAAGTGGGATCTGATCAAAAGTTCTTTGGGTTATCTAAAACTTGTCCAAAGTTTTTTCTTGAGGCTGCATTTTGACTCAGTTTCTGTCCAGTACTTGTACCTGACAGCATATTGTGATAAGTGTGTTTATAAAAATTTGAACGCTAATCAATGAAGGAGAACAGGAAAAGGTATAAAATAATTTATAGCTGATGAACAGAGGATGAAGGTCATGTCTTTAAAAAACTGGAAAATGGTCAAGCAAATTCTAAAAAATGAACACAGGACCTGAGAGGTATACTGGTTTCTCCCTTTAATTTATCCTCTAATACTTGTGAACTTTTCAGCTAATTGCTCTTTAGGAATAATTTTATTTGTTGTTGTCCCACAGCAAGAAGGTCCTGGGTCCCAAGATTGGACCTGGAGTCTTTCTGTTGGAAGTTTGCATGTTCTTCTCGTGTTTGCGTGGGTTTTCACTGAGTGCTCCCACAGTCCAAAAACATGCATGTTAGGCTGATTGGTAACTCTAAATTGTCCCTAGATGTGAGTGAGAGAGTGAATGGTTGTTTTGTTTGTCTCTCTGTGTCACTGTGATGGACTGGAGACCTGTCCAGGATTTACCCAACCTCTCGCACCGTGACTGCTAGACATGGGCACCAGTGACCCCATGACCCAGAAAGGAAGAATCCGATAAAGATAATGGATGGATGGATGGATGGATGGATGGATGGATAAATCATACATCAGAATTAGGTCACTTAACAAGTAAAACCAACAAAAAACCTTCCTCTAAAATTGGCAAGTGAAAAAGCAGCCAAAGTCCAAAAAAGAGATGTTTCCATCTTTTAAAGGTTTAATAAACCTTGAGATTAAAATGTAAAAATAAAGGTTATAGCAAGGCTTTTTCTTTACAGTACAGTGAAAAATAAATCAATAAAAACACATCTTTTATGTACATTACATGGCTAGTAAAACCTTCTGTACTAGTAGTCAGTTTCTACGCTTGTTGGGAATTCATGTTTATATGTTTCACACTTCCAGTGTGTGTATGCTTTAAAAAAAAAAAAACTAAATTAAAATGAGTGTGGGTTTGGGAATGGGTTGAGAGTGAAGTTGAGCAGCGTTTAGGTGATGCTTTGTGGTAGTGGTGGGTGCGGTGAACTTCTAACAGTGTTTTGGCCTAGGCCAGGAAACCACAGCTAGAGCATTACCAGACAGAGCAAAACCAAGGCGAGTGCGAGCATGTGTGCGTATAGTGCATGTGTGTGAAGACCACCCACACTGCAAAGGCCATTTTCCCCATTTTTACAGCGGAGGTGAAACGAGATTGTAAGAATAATGGAGAAATGGAAGAAAAAGGGAGACAAGATCACGTGAAAGTGGTGACAGAATTACAGACAGCATTAGAAAATGTTGAAGTGTTTGATACACAGCCCCCCCCCCCCCCCCCTACACACACACACACATGTTGTACATGTATGAAGGGGACAACATCCTGCCTCTGTGTGGTGGCCGTAACAGTAACAGTCGTGTGCGTGTCATTTAGCCATTATGTTGATGGAATGATTCCTATCAGGAGTGACCGGGGTCACACTGTAAACATCATTTTTCAGAGACAGAAATTAGAGAAACTGTATGTGATAGAGGGAGAAAAGGATTCAAGGGGCGGTGAGGGGATGAGCTAAAAAAAGACAAGAGAAAAGAAAGCAGTGTGTGTCTGAGTGTGTGTGACAGTGGAGGGTTCTCTTTAGAGCAGCTATCAGCTCCAGCATCAGTGTCCTGGCTCCAGACGTCTATGGTAGTCCCCCGCCTTAACTACACTGCCCTCCCTTGCTCTTTCTTCTATTTCCCCCCACCTTTTCTCCTTTCCTCACCTGTTTCATCCAGTCTCCTTCAGATGGAAGAGGAATCCATAACCCCCCCATGTGTCTGAGTGTGTGCGCCTGCTTTGAGAGCAGGTGTTGACGCTGGTCGTGATGGAGTGAGTGTACATGTACGGTTACTGAAAATCAAAATGAACATATGCTGCTTCAAGGAAGAGGATTGGGAAGAGTAGATGGTGTGCGCTGAAGTCAAATGTTGTACATGTTTTCAACGAGCTGCTTTGGCTCTGAGCCCAAAAACTGCAAGAAATTCTGAGGCCCATGTCAGTGGCATCCACCATTATGGTTAATCTGTTCAGCTGAAAGTGTTGCAGGAGGAAGCACACGTTAGTTCTCCAGTTTTTCCTTTGTGCCTTCCAGCCTTTCATTCACTCCTTTGTTCTTTCCCTCCTTCACACAAACTTAAAGTGTTTACTCCAAAGTCTCAGTTTCTCAGCTTTCTCCTACATTCCCTGAGGGGCTTGGCAATGAACACGAGCAGAAAAAGGCAACTTCCGCTTGTCACAAAAGATATATTTACAACAGAGGGGGTGTTGTCAAGAAG